ATGTTTGCAATTCCTGCCCTCTATAGTAAACTGCCCTTAATCTCCTATGAATGTACTGCATAAAAATGAACACGTAAAAATTATACAAAAATAATTTTTTAACATATAAGAGGTTATGTATCAAAATTAAAGCTAAAGCTCTTGAGAGTTTAGGACTTTCCTCAAGGTTCTTTAATATTTTTTTAAATCATGCCAAACGCATGTGTACATAATTTATGGGCCTACATTTGATATTTGATACGTGGCATCAAATTGCCAAGACCCGAATCAGGGTATTTAGAATATCCATCACCCTCGAAAATTTTATGATCATTTGTATTGAGACATTTTGAAATATTCTCTTCCAGGCTATTTGAAATATATAATATATTGCTTTTAACTATAGTCATCGCTACCTGTGCTATCGGACACTTGGACTTAACCTCTTTTCTATCTAACGTAATCTTAGTAACCCATTAACCACCTCTCTTCCATCCGTCCCATACCTTCCCACGTCTGGTTACTATCATCTCTACTTTCTACCTCCATGAAACGACTTTTTAGCTCCGCCAGATATGAGTGAGGAACATGAGATCTATTGGTCCTTTTGCTATTCATCGGCTTTATTTCAACTTAACACAATGAACCTCCCAGTTCCATTCATGTTGCTGTAAAGATTTCATTTTTTATGGCTGAATAGTTATTCCACCCATGTATCATATACCACATTTTCTTTCTTTCTTTCTTTTTTTCCCGAGATGAGGATCTCGCCTTGCTTTGCCCAGGCTAGAGTGTCTGTGCGTCAGCCTAGCTCACCAGGCACTCAAACTCCTGGGCTCAGCCAATCTTCTGGGCCTCACGCGCCTTCCCTTGAGTAACTCGGATGAACTCACAGGCGTATGCAAACCCCATGCGCCGGCTAGCTTGGCACCCACCAGGCCTGCGCTAGTTTTTTTCTGTTTTAGCTTGACTTGGCTAATTTCATTTCTATTTTATAGTAGAGATGGGGTCTTGCAGAGGCTTGATGTGGACTCCTGAGCCAAGCAAATCCTCCTGCCTCCCACACCTCCCCGGAGTGCTGGATTACGCATGAGCCACCACCACGGTCCCCACCGATTTTCTTTATCTACTAATTTGATGACACTTAGGACGATTCCAGATTGTGTATTGCTGAATAGTGCTGCGAGTAAACATGGGGGGGTGGCAGGGTATCCCTTTTGTACAGCTGATTTCCTTTCCCCTTTGGATACAATCAAACCAGATAGTGGCATTGCTGGATCAAGAAACCTCCCATTTATAATGGCAAAACTTACACCGCCCACCCCACCGCGTGTAAGAGTTCATCTTTCTCTACTTGTGGGAAAGATAGCCATGACTAGAAGCAGACTGAGTTTGCACTGCTTTTCAAGGAGAGGGTCGAAAGTCGCCAGATGGTTCCTAGAAATGACTCTCTAATTGGAGGAAGATTGTAAAACTCTGGAGAATGATGGGGACATTCAGAAGTGAAGGAGAAGGTGATGGGGCGGTCATCTCGCAAGAACGGAAGGTGCTCTGTGGGAGAGGCATACAGCACTCGGGGGAAGTCAGGAGGATGGAGCCCTGCGGGCCCCACGCTTTCCCCTGCAGGCGCTGTGGCCCCAGCTGTGAGGGGCCTCCCCTGCCCCCACGGCAGACCCCAGGACTGATGGGGAAAGCTGGCGTAGCGTCCGTGCCCAGCAGGCAGAGACATTGCCCCAGAGCGGAGGCTGCAACGTGGCTTTTCTAGCAGTAATTGCT